GGTTTTAAATGGTCCTGAAAACGCCAAATTAGTCAGTCCTAACATTAAATGATACAACAGCAGGACGGCCCAGGTGTAGTGTAAGGCAGCCCTAAGAATGCACCTTTAGAATTGATAAAACGATCCATAAAATATTGAAAAACGTTCCATAAAAAACATTCAAATGATCCATAAAACATCGGAGAAAATCCTTAAAAAAGTGTGAACGATCCATAGAAAATATCAATATTATCAATATTTTATGTGAAATTTAGCAACACAATTGTAAAAATTTACCGGTAAATTTCTTAACAATGAGCATTGAAATTGTACGAATAACCCATAAACATATTGCAATTGATCAATAAAACTTTCAGTAATGTACCATAAACTAAAGAAAATGATCCATAAAAAATCAAGTTTGCGCACTTAAAAATATAGGCATGATGTTTTGGAAGCTTCATTTAGGAAATTCCTTTTTTGAAGCTTATTCTAGACGCTCGCCCATCGTTCCGCTCTTCTGACAAAAAAAACATGGGAGGAACAGAAAACCTGAGTAGATACGTAGTAATGTAGCAATTTTTCAAGGTTTATTGATCAAATTAAAAAAGGGGTCCAAAACATAAAAAATATGTAAATCCCATAGACTATAATTGGAACACACCATAATAAGAACGTCTACTAATAACTGGAACACCTACCCTAGGTATGATCCATAAAATTAACATTTATTTTTCATATTTTCTTAAGAAGATTATTATAGAAGCTTCTTTTGGAAGCTAATTCTAGACGGTGAATCAAAATTAATATTAGTGTCCAAAACGTGAATAATATAGTCTAATTCATGGATCATGGCTGTTCGAAATATCGGGATAACCCTGTACAGCCAAGCCCAGCGACAACCCTGTGGGAGATTTGGAGAGTTACGATAACGGTCGCTGTCAGAAATGACAGTAACCTGTGATTTTAGATAGGTTGGAGTAAGAACGAGAAAAAAAGAAGAAAGGAAGGTACAATTCCAAACCATCTAGAACACGTTTTACAGCTAAATTAAATTAATTGCCTAAATTTGTTACTATGCCTACCGTTTAATTAAATTGTAGTGATTTGTAGTGAACTAGCTACTGAAGTAGGTTAGTTGGAGGTGGAATTCGTGTAAATATTGAATTTAATAACTCTATATTTGCTTAATTTAGATACTACAATTTTATCCTAAAATCTGGTAACCTACAATTTGTTCCTCAACGCTATATACTTGATTTACCCTAAGTAATTAGTAAGTAGCTCAATCTACATGGTTTGCGTGCTTAACTAAAATAATAATTGAATCCATAAATCCTAAATCTCGGTTGAAAAATCTCCCGTTCAGCCTCCTATCGCTTTTCATGGAGGAATTTCTCTTCCTCCAGCGTTTTCTCCTGCTGCAACAGGTCTAGGCATTCCTCCAGGCTGACCTCATTGGTACTTTCTTTTCCAGATTCGAATCCGGCATCACTTCTTGCACTATTCTATCTGCTAGGTGGTTTCTTTGGGACAGACTTCTTGGTTCCTATTTGGCACCTTCAGCATATTTGTGCACTTCGAGCACGTCTACGGAATCTCCGTTACAGCTGTTGTCTTACCAGCACAACTATAATGGGTCCAGAAATCGCAGACACACTGGACCATATCATCTACGTGGTCATGGCCTTCACAAAGCGTACAGTTTCGATCGCTGTTCTGTTCTTCACTCAACGGTGGTGTTGATCCCTCTGACATTTTGAGGTTATATCCGATGTTGTTCTTCAAACATGTTCGGATTAATGAAAGCAACTACCTCAGAGCAGTCTCGTTTTGGACAGCTTGAAGCTGAAATAGGTTTTATTACAAGCATTAAGATTGGTTTAGATTTTATATTAGGTTAATAAAACCTATTTCAGCTTCAAGCTGTCCAAAACGCGACTGCTCTGAGGAAGTTGCTTTCATTAATCCGAACATGGCTATATTTTTAAGTGCGCAAACTTGATTTTCTATGGATCACTTTCTTAAGTTGAAGGTTCACTGCTGAATGTGTTATGGATCAATTGCAATATGTTTATGGGTAATTCGTACAATTATAATGCTCATTCCTGGGGGCAAGACAGCTGTACTCTGAGTAAATATATTTGCACCGAGTAAATTTGAGTTACTCATATTTACTCAAAAATGATCGCAGTAGCCTCGATTTTCTGATCAAAGAAAATATCGTCTGAAAGCATATTTCGTTTGAAGCATCTGTTCGCCCATTTGAAAGATCGAATCGCTCGTTTAACAAATCGAATTGTGGACAAACGAAATGCTCCTGTGGTGGTTTGACTGCACGACGGTTTTACGAGGCTTATCGTTCGTGTGTGGCTTGGATGCCTTTCAGGCGCCTTTCCTCGTTGGTGAGGATCGACATGGCCTAGGACGATACAGGAGTGACGGGAGTGACCCGTTCCAAAAATGCTCCTTTTCGGTTACCTGAGGTACAACCTGAGGAGCTTTAAACTTCCTTCGTGGTATATCCTGGTGGTCCTTGACTGCTGATTGTAGTATATTATGTAGTTGCTGATTCTAGGCCAGATTAGGTCAGCTATGACCAGCTTCGTGGAGTTTGTTAAGGTTCAACAATTAAATTTGTATTCTTCTTATTTTTGAAATATTCTTCAATCATCATCATTAGTATACACATACATTCACACATTATTAATACAAAAATTTAACACATGTATTTCATTATTTTAGGTCGAAAACTTCCCGGCTAAAGCACATTCACTATATTCACTTACTTGTTGTCTTCGAAGCATACCACAATTACACACAATCGAATACACGAAATTCAAAACAACTGCTTCTCAAAACTCTTGGTGAACAAAATTGAACACCAAGAAAACCACTTCAACTTTAGCGCTTTGCCAGCAATCGTAAATGTATCATTGAAAAAGCGTTGCCAGATGTATTGCCTCTAGCAATGAATTAATGTTTATTAAAACAAGCAGTTGTGAAGTTTGACTCATTAACATGGGTAAGTGGATGTATTTAATGGTGAATCAATATCGAAGGATATTTCAAAATGAAGAAATAAAAAAAATATTTACCCTTTGTGGAACCTTAACATTAATAATCATGCCATGGTCAACAACCATAAACAGTGCCGTACCGTTTTTGGAAACACGGCCTCATATGTTTATTTCCTCAAGCACAACATTTCATGAAATATCAAGCGTCTAATCCCTAAATAATGATCGAGTAGTATTATAAATTGAATGGAGCTTTCGATGAATATATAGACAGCATAACATGCAAAAATCATTTGTAACCAATAATAGGAAGGCACTGTATTCTTATCTTTTTGAAAATCGTGCAGCCTGTATGTACGCTATTATTTTTATATATTTGTGTAAATTACGTTTTCATTGAGTTTCTGGAAGTTTAAAAAAATATATAAACGATAACTATATTGCTCTAAGAATTGAATTTATTGAATTGATTTAGCCTAATCCGAACCTATCGAACCGTCTCAAAAGTCCCTACACAGAAATTCCAAGAAAGCACGTCAACTTACTTTGCTTGACAGCATCGGTTTCAACATTATTTTCAATATATCAATCAGGTTGCTATGTGTATATAAGATATTGAGCAACGTGAGTTACTCGGAGTTACTCAAAATTAACTCCGGTTTTACTCATGATTGAAAGCTGTCTTGCCCCCAGGCTCATTATTTATAAATTTAGCGGTACATTTTTACAATTATGTTGCTAAATTTTACATAAAATATGGATCATATTGATATTTTTTATGGATCGTTCACATTTTTTTAAGGATTTTCTCCGATGTTTTATGGATCATTTGGATGTTTTTATGGAACGTTTTCCAATGTTTTATGGATCATTTATTGATTTTTATATTCAAAAGTATGTTTGCCGTAGTGTAGTGGTTAACATCCATTCCTCTCACGCCAAAGTCACGAGTTCAAATCTCATCCCCGGACAAGTCACGAATGACCCAAAAGTGTTAAAGTGACTATAATGAAAAAAAAAATCAATCAAAGGTCGTTTCCCAAGCACGGCCGCATTATTGACGTAAGACCACCGACGAACCGACATGCCACTGTATCACATTTCGTTTGTCCGCAATTTGATTTGTCAAATGAGCGATTCGAATTATCAAACAAACACGACCAATTAAAAAAAAAACTCAGCGACTGAATTCAATTGACTCAGAACAATTTCTTTCCATACGAAATTTACTCATATTTAGAGAAAAAAAACTGTAGTTACTCATAGCTGCAGCTTTTTTTTTATCAAATATGTGTAAATTTCGTATGTAAAGAAAATGCTCTGAGTCAATTGAATTCAGTCGCTGAGCTGTTGTAGTTGGCCGTGAAAACAATACAAATTTTACATGTATTCGAGTTCTTGCTCACGATATGACGTGATCGGATGAGTAGATGGCGGTAGTGTTTAACGCATTTTAAATATGGCGTCTTGGGAAAGAATTTGAATGTAGCTAAATTCATTGTCGAAAATTTCCTTATGGGGGGAATGGATGTTATGTCGGCCTAAATGCTTCAAATTTGGGCCCATACATAAATTCAGCAATCGATTAAATTTTCAATAGCGACCAAAAATATCCATTAGTGATAAATAGCAGATTTTTAGCGATGGGCCCAATCTTAGATCCATAGGCCAACATTAGAGGTATTTCCCCTATCATGAAGCGTACGTATTCCCGATCTTAAAATCTAGTTATGTACATCTAACTGAATGATTTTCCAAACCCATCAACAACCCATCGAGTTACATTATTCAGGCCCTTCGAATTTCTACCCACGGCTCAGAACCACCCAATATCAAAATTCCACTTTGCGCTGAATCACAGCTACAGAAAATTAAACTCTTAATTTAATTAACAACATTCCATCCAATAAAAAAAATGAAACTATCATACACCAATAATCATCCCAACATCAATCAGATGAGTCACAATCATTATTCCAATTCTCTCTGCGTTATTTCCAGATTTCATCACCATCCCGGAACGATTAGAACGTGGCAACCACTCTTTTTTTTCTCCTTCCATCTATGCCTACCGCTGGAGCAAGTCCCCCTGGCAGAAGCAAACGGAGAGACGGCCCGATCAAAATGACGTAAACGCGTGCTCGACTGGATCGACGGAACTGATTGGACCAAAAGAACAACAACAATAATAACCACGATAGCCAGCAGTAACTTTTTGCTGTTCTCCTTTTGAAGTCCGCTTCACGGCCTCCCTCCCTCGACTGAATCACATACACTTAATAAATCACCGTTCTCGAGACGACCCTCTGAACGATTCTATAGCGACGCACAAATCCGAAAACGAAACAGAGACAAACAAAAAAATCACATTTATGAAACAGTTCAAGGACCAGAAGATCAAATTAATCAGAATGCTGACCCGGAGGAATTGGCTGCTGCGGTGCAGCATCCTGATCAATGTGGCGGTGCTGCTGTACCTGTGCAGTCACCTGCTGATCGGTGGGGGCAATTTCGCCCTTGGACCGGCCTACATCATCTCGGACGAGTCGATGATGAAACCGGCCGCGCAGTACAGGACTCACATTCCGGCCCACCTGGCCCAGCAGCTACGGCAGGAGGAGCGGGAAGCGATGCTGATTCAACAACAGACGCAATCACAGCAGCAGCATAGTGTAGTTTTAAAAATTCAGGAAAATGGGGTAAGTTTTTCGCTGCTACTCGCTTACAATTAATGGCTTTCAAATTAAGCGATGTTTCGTGTCCGAGAGTTGAACGGCCCATTTGTTACTTGATATTATGTACTTTCTTATGGAGGGAGAATTTGGCGAATGGATAACAGCAATTTATTCTGCACCATCCAACGGTACAAAATTTGGCGACAGTTCCTCGGCGGTCAACAAACGGCGCGATCAAGATGATTATAACGACGACGATAATGATGATGAGTACACCTTGGCTAATATTTAACAAGCATCAATTCTGGGAAATGTTCAATTATGCATACGGTTTCCTGGAACAAGCAACCAACCGCTCACCAAACAATAATAAACATCATATTTAATTGCACATGAGTTTGAGTACCCTCCACATCTGAGTAGAATTAGCCACCGAAAAAAGATGCATAAAATCCCCTTCATCGCGTTAGTCACCGGAACGCAAAGCATTTATTTCCTGGTGTGGTTGAAGAGAGATCGCGTACCTACCGGGAGGTGCGACCTGAATTCTTGTCCTTGATTCAAGATAGCAACGGGGGAATTAAAAAAAAAAACCTCAGCCAAGATGCAAATTTGAGTGATCTCAAATCCATAGATCTTGAATGACATCAGTAAGTGATGATAAATTTGCACCAGGATCGAACAGTGAGCCATACCCGAGCAAAGTTTTATAACAAGTACTAATACCCGGTTATCAAGCGTAACTGAATATGTTATCATTGTGGTTGAATTAACAGCCAACATAACAAAAAGTACTCGTTGGATATCACAAAAATGACTAATGACATTTTCAACAATCCAATTCAACCTATTTCAAATTATGTTATCGATTTTATATTAAAGCCTTACGCTGATAACTGAATTCTGATTAGCGGTGTAATGGAATTTTGAAACGCAAACAAAATTTTTTTTTTACGATAACTGATAACACTATTATTCAAGGTTGATAACTAAATTAGTAAACGGCGCCGGTGGTGTAGTGGTAAGCGTGATTACCTCTCACCCCAACAGGCCTGGGTTCAATCCCAGTCGGCGCCGCCGGGATGTTCTGAGGCATAACATCTCTGATCACGCCATCCTTCGGATGGGAAGTAAAGCCGTTGGTCCCCGGTTCATAAGTTGATGGGTCGATAGGTAGGGTCCAGGTGTGGGAGCTGCCTTCCTGTCACGTCGGTAGCATTGGTGCTCAGCACGGAAAACAAGATCGACGGAAAAAACAAACCAAAGGAAAAAAAAAACTAAATTAGTAACGCGATAACAACTAAAAACAAAATAATATATCAGGAATAACAAAACTTGTTATCTAGATGATGTCAGTTTGTTATTTTACTTTGCTCGGGTCGCTATACGAATCGGAAAACGAGACACAGATGCGTCGTAATTCGGTACGTGACTGTTGGTGTTAATGACTGTGCCGGGAATAAGTGCGTGCCAGTGGGTTTAAATGCAAATGGTTGTCTCCAGATAGGATGAATGGACGGAAGGAATTCCTCGGAAAGGAGGTCGATTTTGAGTGTTCCTTTGTTGTGTCTGGAATTGATTTAGCACTGCTTTTGACGTTCGAAAGTGATACTTAATTTACAATGATGTGATGGAGTGAGCCCGTTCGTACTATAAGCTTTTTGAATATTTAATAAGGATTTTATTTTTGCTTAAAAGGAAATCCAGTTTTCAACAACTTAGTCTCAGATGTCATTTCGATTGGATGAGCCGTTCTCGTGCTATGGTTTATTGAAAAATATCGAATACGCCATTTTGAAAAATTAGGCCTGGGTCATAATGCCAAATTCCGGCACAATCTTAGTTCATTGCTCCTGGTGAACAATTATGGGAAATTTTATGAAATTCGGAGAGGGGAAACTAAAATTCATCATTTGGTACTTATGTGACCATTTGGATTGGAAACTGCCTTCGATTTGACATACAATTTCACACTGAAACAATTATTTATTTATTTCCTTGCCTTGAATTTCCTCAACCGTCAGTAATTGTACTACAGCAGTTCGTCCTTGAAGGCTCCTTGACCGAAGTACGATCTCCAACCTTAATCGATTATTCATACATGCTCAACTAAAATAACGAATCCATCAGCTGACCATCCGCACTTCACCTTCTACTATAAAGTCGCTTTCACATAATGAACATTGGTACGTTCTGAGTAAAATTACTAACCTATTACTCCAATTTACGTACCAAAGTAGTTCCCCCGTTTCCGTACCTCGGGAAAATTTTGCCGGTTAAATGTACCTACCTGCGTCGGTTATGGGTTCTCGGATGGGGAATAATTTCGCTGAAACGAAACGAAAATGACGATAATGACATGTTTCATGTCGACGCAAGTACACCACACCGCCACGAATGTGGCTCAATGCTGAACTGATCGATCCGGGTCGGTCGGTCAGTCAGCAGAAGGGACCCTGCTGAGCATCGAAGCAAAATCGATCTTGTAATTGATGCTCTCGTTCTCATACCACTCCGCACCAATTTTCAACTTCTGATTGATATGAATTAGTTTGCCCTTTGAACGATCATATCTTATGCGTTTCCAGAATATTGCTTTACACGAGTTGTGTTGAATGCTTCTTGATTCTCGTTTCTCGTTGCAGATCAGCGTCCAGGAGGTGCCCCAGCAACAGCAACAGGCCACGAACCAGAACCAACAGGACCAGCTGCTGTTGGACGCGGCCGGACGCGATGTAGATAACAATAATAATAACATTAATGTAGATGATAGTCGATTCGATGTGCCAACAGAACCAAGCCAGAGCAACAACGGTGGCCCTAGTGGGTTGCTCAATAACAACAACAACAACAACAACAAGGCTGCCGGTTCCGAAATCCTGTACCAGGACGTAGGTGCCCCGAATGGCGCCGGAGCTGGTCTCCTCAATGCTAGTGATATCTTCTCGACCACGGCGTCGATCGATCTCGACATGAAGCTAAGGTGAGAAGCCGGCGATACGATGTCTTCATTAACTGCAATTTGTTTTACAACATGACATTTCTCTCTCACTCAGGTCACTGCTTAACTGTCACGATCGTGACTACAACCCGTACATCGGCCAGCGGGGCGACTTCTGGGTACTGAAGAACTACGTCCACGCCGAGCACGGCGAGCTGCGTTGCCATGAAACCATCACCTATACCACTCATGCGGACTACACGTTCCTCGATAATCTGATACCACTGCTGGAAAGGTAAGTGCTTTTGCGGTGGGAAGAAGACTCAGGCGGACACCTGAGCGAGTACCTTTTATTATTATGTATATGATCGTTTGCCGCCGTTGCAACGTCAAGGTCAAGGTTCCTCGCTTGTGGCACGACGAGTCATCGTTTAATGACATCATCAAATGGAAGTTGAAATGTGCGCCTTCCGTAATCGTATATGAACCGTTTGTGAGGTGCTTCGTTTCGGTAGGGAAGAAATACTTTGTGTTAAGGGGGGTGAGATAAGCTAGAGGGCTTTCGGCATTTGAATGTTGCCGAAATGAAAGGAACTGAGGCGCCAGATATTTTTAAGAACTGAGGAATTTCCGTCTATTAGTAGCTCTAAATCAGGTTGAATTATTGCATTGTGTATTTGTTAGAAGAATGCGGTTTCGAAAACTCGACAGTTAGCCTAACTCAGTCGAAAACAGTTCGACAGTGAGCATTCAATAAGGGCCTAACTGCGATGATCGATTCTGTTAATTGATTTCCTCTTTAAATTGCTACAGCTACAGGGAAACAATTTTCTGAATTTTTTCCATGTATTGACTATCAAAAGCAAAGGCAAACGCACCGAGAAATGATAATCCAAGTGAGTTATTAGCAAAAGAGGAAATCGATGATCATTGGTGTTAGGCCCTTATGAATTGATTACTATTTTCAACTGTTTGGTCGTATTTTGCATTTTTATTCCATTTGAGTTTCTTCAGGAATACAGATACTGTAAGCTAGTGGTGCTCATCTCCCCTTTTTATGGCTGTATCTTTGTTCGATGGTCATATTTTAGGTTGAATTTTGTGTGTTTTCCAATAATTTCGGTCATACATTCGTAATGCAAAAATAAATTCATACTGAGGTTGCTACATCATAGAGATCCGCAGGTCGCACTTTGGTCATCACTGCTGTAAGCCAAAGGTAGTAGAGTTCATTTAAGGGAATTGCTTGAACTCGCGTAACACGAGAAAAGGGCCTATTGTTGATGTAAACCAAAAAGAAAGTCGATGAAGAGAATCGATCAACGAGGATAGGCCCTTTTCAAATGCTACGCAAGAAATCTAATGATTTCCCAATTCATATTTAACTAACCACTTCCCTATGGACTCAAATGGCAATTTAGCGGGAATAAAGTATTTACTACATTTCTATTCATTTCAGGGGGTTAATGTTAATGTTAAATGGGCCATCTTTTAATAAAAATTATGGTTAGGGTGGTCCTCATTTTAACTTAAATCAGATATCTAACTATAACTTGGTGATTACATTCTTCAGCAAAGATATTTAAAAAATTCAATCAACTTTGCTGAAGACATATTTTTTTAGCTAGACAATTTTTTTATATTTAAACTAAGGTGTCTCTAATATTTTTTTTTGATTCTAACTATTTTGTATCAAACGTTTCGAAAAAGTGATCTGTAGAAGCCTGTTTACAAAAAGGCTTTAAATCACTAATATGACCTAGAATAGCTTTAAAATGCCATCATTAACTTAAAATCTTTGAACCGTCCTGTCAACGCTGATAATAATCTTGAAACGTCAAAATAAATCAAAGAACGCGAAAAATTACCAATGGAAGTCATAATGGGCCTGATTAAATTTTTCAAGCTGTCTTGGCCTGGAAAAATGGCCAAAATTGGTTTTAAAGTGTCCTGAAAACGCCAAAATAGTCAATCCAAATATTGAATGCCACAAGAGCGTGACGGCCGAGATGTAGTGTAGTGGTTAACATCCATTCCTCTCACGCCAAAGTCACGAATTCAAATCTCATCCCCGGACAAGTCACGAATGACCCAAAAGTGTTAAAGTGACTGTAATGAAAAAAATCAAAGGTCGTGTCCCAAACACGACCGCATTATGAACATAGAGCTACGAGATTGTTTTTTGCTTAATAATTTAATTAATAATTACAAAATTATTGAGTTGTAAATTTTATCCTAAAAAAATCAATTCAAAGTTTTGAAATTAGGGGACATTTAATAACCTTATTGAATTCATTTTTCTTATTTCAGAATTTAGTGCCGATCCCATTAAAAATTAGGTTCCAAACATGTCCAATTTTCAGGTACCTACTAAATTATGCTTATTTACAGTAACCAAGCTTAAAATACGCTATTTCAAATGCATTTCATATAACAAACCGGTTTAAAGTACATATAAATACATAACACCATTGTTGCAAATTACAGATTAGTTGAATCTTATTTGAGTTTTTCTGTTATCTGTGTTCAAACAAAAATATATCAAATGACGAACGCTGTAATTCAATAAATTTAACGTCAATTAACTTATTTCATAATAACATATTTTTGTGAGTTTGAACTCATCCACCACCGTTTACACAAGGCATAGGGCTGTATTTAAATTTGCAAACATTATGGAACCATTTTGATAAGTCTTTGTCCGGAATTTTTCGCCATGAAAGATGCAAATATAGTGACAAATCAATACGTTACAAACCAATACGTTACGTTCGTGTAATCTCAATTTCACAAGTAACGACTGCAGTCCCAAAGCAGCAGATGAAATTAAAGTTGAAGACAAAAGCATAGTTCCAGTAGAGACGTAATGGCTATGAAGAATAAGAAGAAATTATCAAAATTTCGGTTTAAAGAATCATTATTTCAAATGCATTTTTACTAACTTGGTGACAGAATTCTGAACTAAACTGTGCAACATCCAATAAGTATTGTGCATCTGAACAACTCGGCCAAAGGTAGCAAGTCACTTCGTACTCTGGTGAAGAAATTTTCAACCAAACTGGCCACCATACAATGAGTCTTATAAATCTGATCAACTTTGTCAAAAAACAGCAACCATCTATCTAGTTGAGCTTTTAAGTTAAAGCAAGTAAGTATAAGTCAAATCGTATACTTGCGCCGCCTTGTGTGAGAATTTAGAACCGAGCTGTCCACTATGCAATATGTCATGTTCTCAGCAACCTTCTATCTAGTCGTACTGCCTAATTAAAGCAAGCAATACGAGTGTGGTGTACACGAGAGTGGTGTACACCATCCAATAAGTCTTTTTCACTTGAATTTTTTTCCAGATACAGAAACCTTTTATCTAGTGAAGATGTCAAGTTAAGCAAATAATTTGAAAACAAATGACTTACATATTAGTGCCGCCTTGAATTCTGAACTCAACCTTCCAATAGGCCTTACCTATCTGAACAGCTTTGATGAAGACTGCAAACCAGTTTTATCATAGCAAATTTGGCTTTGATTACTCATTTAGAATTACTTTTTGCGCCCTAAAGGGTCACCAGTTCTAACCACCATGACATCACTGAACATTCCACTTAGAATCGTAGAAGGTGGTGGTACTCACTGAGTGAGTCAAATTTTCCTCAAAAATATGACGAAAATCGAGAAAATAATTACCCGTCTACACGGTCGATAAAAGTAACTCAACTCACAATTGCATTGCATAGCGTGGTGCCATTGGGCACTGGATACACGACGCTAGGCATACGGGCGTTGGGCATAAAGGACGTTAGGCATAATGGATGTTAGGCATAATCTACCCGATGAATTCCAGAAGGATGATAATGGGGACCGTCAATTGATTGCTGACTTCGGTGACAATAATGAAAGAGCCTTAATTTTTGGAACTCATGAATCCTTGCGACGTCTTGGACAGGCAAAGTATTGGGTTACAGATGGTACGTTTGCCACAGTTCCTTGTTTGTTTCGGCACCTCGTCACTGTTCATGGAAGTATGCTCAGAAGAAGGTTCCGCTAGTTTTCATTTTGATGACAACAAAAACAGAATCGTTGTATCGAAAAGTATGGCAGGAAATCCTGGAAGTAGCAGGTATGTTTTTTTTATTGAATGAAAAACCACAGAATTCACCATTCTTCGTTTCATGAGCTGTTCTTTGGAATCATATTTTATTCAACCTTAGCTGTTTTTTTTTTGTTATTAAATGAAAAATCATACAATTCACCATTCTTATTTCATGAGCTGTTCTTTGAGGAAAACCTTCTCTTCTTTGACAATTGCAATATGTGTGTAAGAATATATCACAACAAATGTGTGATTTTTTTATTTCTAGATGCGATTGATTTCAAGATATAGTTCAAAACTATGCTGAGTTTTCATTGCTAGATAACTTAACCGCTATCGCTACTAATCTTGAATTTAAGTAAATATGTAGCAACGTCACTTATGATATGATAAATAATGGATTCCAAACTATGCTTATTAAACAAACTATGTTTGTTTAACTTGTATCATTTTTTATTCAACGCTTAGCCTAATTTATGCATTGTTGACCATGCTCGAAACAGGTTTATAGAGTTGCATAGCAGCAAAGTATTTTATGCCTAACGTATATTATGCCTAATGGGGTCACTCTTGGGCACTGTAGGGATACCCGTTAATCAAATTCAATGTGTTTGCCGTTTAAATGCAATTTTAGCTATTCAACGTAGTTTTACCATAGAGGTAACTCTAAGACCACTGGGTCCCGAAGAAAATCATTATTATTTTTGGCTCACTCAGTACCAGAACAACGGTCCCAAGCAGTCCCAAGCTATTTCACTCACCCCTGCATGTTCTGCATGAATCCACACACCCCTGATGTTATCTGTCAAACTTTCATAGCGAATCAAAACAAACATAGTGTAGTAATAGAATTTCAACTAGAATAGGGTACGTTAATCGTTTGCTTGGGACCAATAGGCTACTAAAGTGGTGAGCCAATTTAAAATTGTTAGTTTCGTATTGATTGTTGGTTTTACCATAGAGGTAACTCTAAGACCAGAAGGCCCCGAAGAAACGAGCTCAACTTTTTGGCTCAGCTCTGGTACTATCTTCGGTCCCAAGCTAATCGATTCACCCCTCGAAACATAGGCAAATTCACGAACCCCTCATTTCATCTGTCAAATTTTCAAAGCAAATCAAAATAAACATTGTGTAGTACTAGAATTTCGACTAGAAAGGGATACGTTAATCGATTTGCTTGGGACCAATAGGCTAGTCAAGTAGTGAGC